GGTCCTAGCCTCGTCACTACTTCGCCGAGGTTAGGCTAGGCACTTACCAGCACATGGGGTCGGTTGTGCTGATACTACACTCTGCACTGTGTGCAGATCCCGATGTAGCAGCTTCTGAACCTTAGCTTTGGGTAGCTACCTTCAGTCAATTTAGAGGTCCGAGGTAGTACTGCAGGTATCCGCAGGCATGCGGATCACACGGTGACTGAGACAGAATTAAGTCAGGATAGTTGGAACTCCCAAAGTATAAAGTGAAGTATTTGTTTTATAAGAAAGAAAAAGAAAAGAATTTTTTTTAGAATATTCATAAACTGCTATTATGCGATTATTTTAGAATTGTTCTTATAAGCTTTATGTTTTACATGCATTTAGAATCTTTGCTCGTAATGTATATGTTATTAAAGTTTCGTCCCCTGTCGTTGAGACTCACTGAGTACAATGGATGGTACTGACGTTCTCTTTTGGGAACCTACGTTGGTCTGCGGTACAACGTAGGAACCGGTTTTGTAGGCGAGTAGGCTACGGGTTAGGACTTACTTCTCTTCCAGATTGGTGAGCTCCGCTTTTGTTCGTGGAGTATTCCTTAGAGTCATCTTTATTTAGCTATTTCTTTGTTTACTTAGAGAACTAGCTAGGAAATCTCATTTCCTGAGCAGTGCGTCAGTTTATCAGTAGAGGCTTTATAGACACAGTCGGTGGGTTAAGATTCAGATATTTTTTATAAAAACTTAGCAGTATTTTATTTTTTACTACGAATAAAGTTTTGGAGTTGGCTTATTTTTGGTATTTAAATTAATTAAAAGTATTTGGTTATAGTACTGCCTTATTGCATATAAAGTTTGAAGTTATAACAGATTTGATAAGCACAGATGGTTCGCTCGGTCATGTTTAGTGATCGGGTGCCGGTACCGACTTGTGTAGAAAAATGGGTCGTGACAGCGCCCAGCCTTGGCTCATCTTGACATTGCTCCGCACCAATGCCTTGCCCGCAACCTACCGCCCATGATTTTGCCGCACACGCCCGACGCCACTGCCGTCCGCACATGCCTTGGCCGAGTTTCTGCCTTGCCCATGTCAACCCTTGTTTCACCTGTGCCATTGCTTGTATTTTCCTTCACATAGCCTTGTCTTAGCTATTGAAAGCCTTTGCCATCATTTGCACTCCCGCATTTTAGCTTAGACCATATTTGTTGCTACCACAAGCCAAAGTGCCCGTGCCACTGACTTTGGCGCGCATGCCATGCCATGCCGCCCCAACATTGCCCACACTGCCTCGTCAAGTCTTTTCCAAGCATGTCTTGCCTGCCCCAAGACCTTGGCCAATACTTTCCCACAACAGCCCTCATGACAATGTGTTGTCCGTTGCCTGCATGATCGATTTGCCCGCACAAAGGCCAATGACAAGGCCATCACGCCCAATCCTTGCCACATCCGCGCCTACTGCTATTGCGGCGGCAGATGCATTGGCTGACTTAAACATCGGTGATGACCCTGCTAAACCTTCGCATTCAAAGTCTGACGGAAGGAAAGACAAAGCAAAGGAAAATTTAGGCTAGTTCTTCATAGTAGATGATGATCCTTTCACAGAATATGGACCTTGAGATCGAGCTTTAATACAAACATTCAAACTGTAATAGAAAAGAATGAGATACATAAATGAGATCAACTCAGCAAGATCTTCTTGCGGAAAACAACCAAAAAGAAAGAATTGAGAACAAGAAATAACAAACATGCAAGAAGCAAAATAAGAAAAAGGAAAAAGTGCAGCTTTCACTTTGACGTCCTTCTCGATTCACGTGTCATCCTTGCGGATAGACCATGCTAATCTTTTCTGTATCATTCCAATTTCGAAGTCCTTCTAGTTTTGTGGCAATGAACATTCAGTAGGCATAACTCCCTTGAATCGTGTAGTATCTTTGCAATAGTCATAAATCATGTATTTGCTCCTAATTGAGTTCATTTGATCAACCTTATTTACACTCAATTTATTGTATAAAGGAGAATTCCACCAATTGGATTTAGTAGGTATTGCACATTGAACAATACTCAATGGTCCATTCCAATAACAAGCTCTTGGCCTAAACTTGCGATATGTTGCAATAAATGGTGCATTTGTCCAATCAATTTTGTCACGTCCACCTCTTGTTGCCCATTCATCAGCATTCCAAAGGCTAGAGTATATTCTCATTCCTTGTTGGTTTGGAAATGGAATTCCTTTGAGTTGATAGTTTCTAAATACCCTAATTGGAATACCATCAACGTACCACCTGAAAATCATAAGCATTGCTAAATCAAATTTCAAGATTCTCTGGATTTTTTACTATATATATGTGCCCGTTTGTTTGATGTAACAGAAGTCATTCTCCGAAAAATATTTTTTTCTGGACACTATTTTTTAGTATTTGGCTGGAGAGTGAAATATTACTTTTGAATTTTTATGTTAAAGACGGATAGTAATATTAGCAAACTAGATAGTGCTTTGATGATATTTTGAGTATTAAAAATTGATAATAATATCTAACCGTTGGTTAAAGCAGTAATATGAAGTTAAGATCTGATATAATTGTGCAGAAAATTAGTGACTTCCATCCAAAAGTGTTGGAAAGTTATTTTTCCACTTTGGTGATCTTTTTTTTTTTTTTTTTGTGCAATCAAACACTAGAAATGAAAAATATTAGTCGAAAATACCAAACACACCACCACCACTCTAAAAAATTTAAATAGATAAATAGCGAAGGTAGAGAGAGTTGACAAATAAGTTGGTTTTTCTGTAATGGAAGGAAGTTGTCTGAAAAAATCGACTTACACGACAGCATTAGGGTTCCAATGAATGGTGTAGTTGTGAAAATCAGCAGTTGGATCAAACCAAGGATAGAATTGTTGCTCCCTATTTCCAACACCTTGGGTATAAATATTTGTGTGGAGAATGTAAGGTTGTCCTGATACGTTTCCTAAAAACTCGAAATCGATTTCATCATGCTTGGTACCAGTAGAAGATAACTGCAAACGATAAATAAACAAAAATCATCGTTAGTATATAGAATTTAAACTCTAATAATTTTTGTACAATCGATTGACTCTAACAACCTTTTTGATTTTGTAAGTTGTTTATTAAGAAATTCAAACTTGAATATTGTACGGTCAGACCTCTCTATAACAGAATCCCCATATAACAATTATTTACAATATAAGTCAAGCTTTTTTCGTAACCGATTATTATGTTGTGTTATCATATATGTCCTCTATGATAACATTTCATTATAACAACAAAAAATATCGAAACAAACGAGGAGACCGTTATAGAGAGGTTTGACTGTATAACTATATACTTACGTAGTATGTTGTGACTGTTCCAGCAGAGTTGTTAGGTACCAACTTGATAAGCATTTCAAAGCTACCAAAGAGAAATGTTCTTTTTGATTGCGCACCAGAACCTGAAAGTTAAAACCAGATTAGTCAATAATATTGTCAACCTAAAAATTTAAAAATTCTGTTTCTTTTTTTCTTTTTTCTTTTTTCTTTTTTTCAATCAAACAAAAATGTCATTCTTATTTTGGCACCCCTTTTCACTTAATTATTTGGGGAGGCACTCTCCTCTTGTTCGAGGTAGATCTAGAGCAGGTTCTGTAGTTTCAATCGAAACCATTATTTTCGACTCAAACAATATAAAAATATATACATATACAGTCAGACCTCTCTATAATAACATCTCTATATACAACAGTCATTCACTACAAAATTCAAATTTTTCTCGGAACCGTTTTTTGTGTAATGTTATAATATATCATCTCTATAATATCACTTCACTATAGCAGTAAAAAATTATCGGAACAAACGAGGCTGACAAGGGAAGGCTACACAAGTAATTAAGGATTTTTTGCACATATTATACATATGAAAAGAAAATTAAACATGCCTGCAGATTTATCAAGGACCAGTTGAAGATCATCCCCTAGCATTTGACAATGATGAGCACCCCAATTGACATACATGCTACTTGAAATCTTTCCATTGACTATAGCACAATGAAATGCAAATGTTGCAATGATCAAAACCAAGGAATTAAAAGCTATGAATTTGGCCATCTTTATAAATTTTTGAGTAACTTGAAATGGCATTTTGCTCTTAGGCTGTGTAGGCTTTATATAGCTGAAATTAAGACCTTTTCAATTACTACGTAAATGTTTATGTATTTTGTGCTGACCATGTCTGAGGTTGGTATTCTAAATACCGAGTGGACGCAGTTCGCAGTAAACAAAAAAATCTGGTTACATGTATGTTGTATCTGTTAGCTTCTGAGCAAGGAAAAAAATAAAGAATATTAGCATATATATATATATATATATATATATATATATATTATATATATATATATATATATATATATATATATATATATATATATATATATATATATATATATATATAAGGGAGGTGCAAAAACTTAAAAGAACAAATGATATGAACCAGACATTGTGTTTTATAAAAACGACTTTTATATATCTCATGATCAACATTAATGGTTACACATAGAGGCGGACCTATGTGTTATGTTGAGGGGTTATCGGACCCGTAAACCTCAATAGAAATCTTGTATTTGTATATACATATACCTAAAAAAAAAATTAAATCACTTGGTACATTAAACACTAAAAGCTTAAGGAGGCACAGCGGAATATTATGCCCCCGTCACGTTAAAATCTTGGATCCGGCTATGGTTATACAGTATACACACCATTTTGCAAAAGCAGTATCTAATTGGAACCCTTAAAATATGACGTACTAAACTCTTTTTTACCTATATCTAACTTTGGCATCGATATTATTTTGAAAATGTGAAGGGGTGGGATTTAGGGGTTGAATGACGTGCATGAGACTAAAAGATTTGAGATAAACAAGTTGGCTATGGTTCAATATGCGAAGTGATCAACTCCACTTAGGTCTAAACGTGCAGACCATAACATTAAATTCTTTGTATTTAGAGAACTATATAAATAGCAAATGAGAGTGACCCCAAAATACTCCCCATAATTTCACTTTCAGGTCTCAAAATTTTGTATCCCAAAGTATTGATCTTTTTATTTGTTTTAATTTGTGTGGCTTGGTAGAGAGAACGATCAACTTTTTTGTGTCATATTTTCCAAAAAAACAAATTGCGTACTGTCATCTCCCTCTACATAGTCCTATGTTCGAGTGAAGTACGCAATAACCCTCAAAGTGTATGGTCTAGAATTTGTGTCCCTTTTTTGCTCCGTCGGTAGAACTTCAAGTTTAACAAGTGTTGCCTTCACTTGCCCCATGAAAAATACTTTTTACTTTTGACCTTGAAGTTTTGCTCATGGGGCAAGCAGGTAGGGGTGGGCGTTCGGGCAATTTCGATTGGATATAAAAATTTTAGTTTGAACTTTCGGTTTTCAGATTGAAGAAATGACAACCCAAATTCATTCCAAATAAGCTCGGATTGGGTCGGATTTCTTAAGTTCAGTTTCAGATTAATCGGTTTAAATACTTTGAATTTTCGTTTTTGAGCCTATAAGTTGAGATGTTTCTCTTCTTACAAAAAGTAGACATTCGAATAAAGTATTCATGTTAAATTGCCTAAAAAGTTTCCCAATCTCACCACAATCATCCAAATAAAGTATTCAAGTAATAAATCATCATCAAGAAAATACAACAGAGACATTACTAAAGCCGATAAGAAGTAACAATAGTAAAACCATGTCCAAGTAGAAAGTATTTGACAATAATTTAGTAATTAGTATTGAATATATTAGATTTGTATAATGGGTAGGGTATTGGACTTATTACTATTGGTATATGGATAATTGGCTAAGTACAAAGTATAAAAGTTGCGAACTTTTCGGATATCCAAATATCCGAATTACCATATCTAACATCCAATCCAAAATCCAAAATTTTTAAGTATTAATTAAGTCCTAAATCCAATCCGTAGTCCTAAAATCCAAACTATAAATTTAAAAAGTTTGAATTTCGATTTAGATTTTGGGTTTGTCTAAACTATGACCACCCTAACCAACAGGAGTTAAAAGTTAAAGACTGCCAAAAAAAACTATAATATTTCTGCAATTTTTTTTGTCTATATTCTGTACGTTTTGGGTATAACATGTACCTTTATAAAAAACGGAAAAGGGTCTAAACTACCCATATCATTTACTAAATGGTTTACAATTGCTCTCCGTCCACCTATTCATCCAAAAAAGCACACGACGTTAATTCTATTAACAAAATTATCCCGGGACTAAAGACAGAACATGTGGGCATTCTATTTAATGAGGTGGCATATTTTTATTGGCCACGTGGCATTTTGGGTCAGACAACATATATGGGTTTAGTACCCGTCCCATAAACCGAACCTGCCCTAATTTTTTTACAATCCGGGTTAAAGAATAACCTTTCCGGCTTCTTCCTCCTCCTCTGTTTCATCCTTCCATTGCTTCTATGGTCTACCCCTTTTCCTCACTGGTATCTTTTCTTCTTCGCCACTTCCAAGATCCTCGGGAACAGATTGTAGTACAAAAGATGATGGCATAAAGCACTGAAATTATGAATTTAATTTGATACTTGAAGAGCTTTGAGTTATACAAGTAGACATATGGACTAAATTGGTGCGTGATTTGTGTGTAAAAATATCAATCAGATGTCGTTATTCCGCCAAACATTGTGTCTTTCTCTCTTTAAAATCTTTTTTCTCTCTCTACAAGTCCAAATGGTTAACTCATTGGAGGATTCCTCAGATTTTTCTTCAACAAAAGCCCAAATCTCCAGTAAACGGTGACCAAAGTGTTTATTTAGTTCCTTAACGATGAAATCTCACATCCCTATTTTGACCCATTCCTCATGCAACTGTTTGTTTATATATATCAACATAAAAGTAAAATAAACAAAATAAAAATTGAATTCTCTGATTTTGCTTTCTAGAATTGATTTTTAGATTTGGGTTTTATCCAATTTAGTTGAACCCGAATTTGAACCCATCAGATAATGAAAATGATGAAACAATTGATGCTAGCTTTTTTAGTTTTACTCAGATTTCTTTTAGGACAAGAGTGCATGTGGCCCAGTAAAAAGACCACAACACATTAAGTTGAAGGTCCAACTGGTATGTCGTTAAACGTATGGGTATTTTAATTAATAAAATTAATATAGTATGTACTTTTGGACTAATAGATGGACAGAGTGTGTATTTGTGGACTGATAGATGGACGAAGGCTATAAGTAAACCTTTTATCAAACAACAGGGGTAGTTTAAGCTCTTTTCCCTAAAAAAATTGTGAAATTCACATTTTGGCTCATGAAAATGCGTAATGGTAGATATTTCTGCAGTACCATAATCTATATTTAATGGGCGTATGGACATAAGAATTGTAAAATTTCAAAATAGGGTGAAAACTTTTTTCAAGTGAAAATGGTATTTGAAATTTAGAGTTGTGTTTGGACATGAATAAAATCTTGGGGTGTTTTTGAAGTTTTGTGAGTGATTTGAGTTAAAATTTTGAAAAATAGCTTTTTGGAGTTTTTCAAATTTTCGAAAATTTCCAAAATGCATCGTCAAGTGAAAATTGAAAATTTTATGAACAAACGCTGATTTCGAAAAAAAAGTAAATCTTTTTTTGAAAAAAGGGAAAAATTTCTTATGTCCAAGCGGGCTCTTACTTACATATTTATGACATAGCAAGATGTTTTTTCAAACTTTCCGCATTTGACTCTTTCTATTTTTTCGGGCACCTTCTCCATAAAAAAAAAAATTAAAAAAAAAAGCACCTTCTAATTTAAGAGAAAGGAATTTTCAGTGTGAATAGCAGTTAAATATTTATAGTTAAGAGCGTTTCACATGTAATTCCTAAATCTATCTTTTTACTTAAAAAAGAAAATAAAAAACAACAACCAATATATGATGTTAAATTGTTTCCAAATTGATGTTAATCACGTCAATTCTTTAGCCAAGTCATGTAATTTGGGACTCAAGTTAATTAGTCATATGAGGGGGAAGTGCACGGTTAGCCACTAATAACACATGTATTTACTTTTAAGCCACTGTTTAAAATGTCTTTAGTCTTTAGCCACTGCTTTAATAAACTTTACCTGCCCAGATGAAAACACCCTTCTGCTCATAAAAGTTCAGGACCAAGTGTCCTTAACTTTTGAAATTGCAACTCTAAGTTCTGGACTTCAAGACTACATGTCCTTAACTTTTGAACTTGGAACTCGAAGTTTAGGACCACCTGTCCTTAAGTTCTGTGCTTGTAACTCTAAGTTAAGGACTACTTGTCCTTAACTTTTGAACTTGTAAGTCTAAGTTCAGGACCTATTGTCCTTAATTTTTGAGCTAGTTAGTCTAAGTTCAGGACTGAGTGTCCTTAACTTTTGAACTTGTAACTGTAAGTTCGGGACCAAGTGTCCTTAACTTTTGAGCTTGTTAGTCTAAGATCAGGACCTGTTGTCCTTAACTTTTGAGCTTGTTAGTCTAAATTCAGGACCTATTGTCCTTAACTTTTTGGCTTCTTAGCCTAAGTTCAGGACCTATTGTCCTTAACTTTTGAGCTTGTTAGTCTAAGTTCAGGACTTCAGGACCTATTGTCCTTAACTTTTGAACGTGTAACTGTAAGTTTAGGACCTATTGTCCTTAACTTTTGAGCTTGTTAGTCTAAGTTCAGGACCAAGTGTCCTTAACTTTTGAACTTGTAATTCTAAGTTCAGGACCAAGTGTCCTTAGCTTTTGAACTTGGAACTCGAAGTTCAGGACCAAGTGTCCTTAACTTTTGAACTTGTAATTCTAAGTTCAGGACCAAGTGTCCTTAGCTTTTGAACTTGGAACTCGAAGTTCAGGACCAAGTGTCCTTAACTTTTGAACTTGTAACTGTAAGTTCAGGATCCATAACGTAGCAGAAAATCAAACATTATTTGTATCTTTTCACAAAAAAAAGATACAAATAGGTCCTGAACGTAGCAGGATCTTATCGCTTTCATATAAAGGAGAGAGAATGAGAAAGAATCAAACTCTATAGTCTTGCCACACCGATCAACAGCAACAAACCCCTTATACACAATGATATCTACTATATTGAAACTGACATCTTTTAACATAGTCCAGATCCAACGACTTC